AGTGTGGCTTGCCCGTCTTACCCGACTAGTAGTGTGGTTTCTGATAGTTACGGTCGACCCCTCTGCCGTCGCTGAGTGGCTCGCAGCTCCTATCTATAATCGGTCCTCTATCGGCGTGTTCGGCCCTGAGTGTTGCTCTAGTAGGTTATCATCACTAGCCCATCGAGCCCAGACTGTTCAGGCCTGTTGGTCAGGGTAATCTATCCATCAAGTACATCTACCCCTCCTTTGCTCAAATGCTCGCCACCTCTTCACCTCTTGCAGTCATGGTTCTCCAAGTTGGTGCCTCCGCGGCTCTCCGGATGCCAATGTTGTTTTACGTTTAGGTCCTCTTCACTCGTACTCGATTCAATTTCCCGACGTACGTGTCCATAACAATAGTCACTATTGGGCTGGTAAGTCCATCCAATGGTACGAGTTACGTAACACAACGATCATTTATTTTCGATAAATACTGGAACCGAGAATCGAACTCGGGACCTACTGCGTGTTAGGCAGTCGTCATAACCAACTAGACCATTCCAGCGTTGTTTTATAATTAACCTCAAGGAAGTGCATGCGCCGCACTCGATATATGTCAATCCAATCTCTTAGATATTGTGTTCCTTGCGAGAAATGAACTTCCACATTCTGGGCGTCGTCTTCAGCATCGCCTCCACGCTACTTCGCGGGGGCAAAACTATTCTCCAGAAGAGGCTGCTCTCTTCTGAAGATCAGGCCACAGGGAAAGAAGGTAGATTAAGCATAAGCTCATCAAGGTCATCAGCCTCCTAGGTTCACAAGTGGTACCCACGATCAGCTCCGTTGCCCTGTTGAATCTCATGGCGCCACAGGTGAGCCTCTCTGGTGCTCTTGCGAGATGCTATCCTTCCTCTAAGTGCCTCGCCATCCTATTCGTGGCCTCCTGTTCAATGGAAGGGTTGGAGCCCTGGGATAGGCTGCTATTCAGTGAAAGCAGTGAAGTCACATTGTAGTCACCTCGCTCGGCTGCCCCTCGCAAGTGTTGATGGCTGCTGCAGGCACTTGTGGATTCTATTCAACTGCCTTAACGCTTGTCTCCTCAACCTCTCTAACTTCATCACTGCTTCTTTCGTATCTCCCCTCACCCTTCAGCTGCTCGGCAACGTCAAGACCGTCCTTGGTATCTTCATCTCGGCGCTGATATTCGGTAACGCAGTGACACCCGCACAGGCCGCGGGCTGTGGCGCGGCTGTTGGTGGGGTCTACGTCTACCAGAGGTGGAAGGGCTCCCGATGGTTGATAATCACGTTGTTGCACCTGTAGGTTTGGCAGATCTTATGAGAGAACTTCTAATCACTCGGTGACGAAGACGACTTCGGCTGACTCTATGGAGACTTCTACCCCGCATATCACGACGGACGGTCTTCGACCTGTCTAGACATTCACTGCATGCCCCCGAACATAGTCTGTGATATTTTCATTCAACTGCTGATTCGTTTCGTTCTATCCCCATGTTGATAGCAATAGGTCTTTTCAACATCAGCATATGAGTACCAGTCCGAATCAGTCAGGCGGCGGAGTTGCTTTTCCCTCCCAGTACGACGCGAGTGGCCTTTCCTCTTGGGACAAGATAGAGTCGGTAAGTCAGAGGTTGCTACCTCTTCACTACTTTCTATGATCGTTATTAATAATGATGAAAGTATTTTCCGCTCTCACTACGATCAGGAACTGCGAGGCGCCCCTATCACCCTCCGATGCAAGATGCCTTCTGGTGACATCACCGAGATACAAGTACCCTACGAAACTCGTCACTCTACATTTTTTCAATCACTTTCGGCAAATGAAAGAATCAATTGAAAACTGACATTTGATTTTTAAGAGGGGAAGGAGTTTTCCATGGAATGAATGTTCAAATTCGAAATTGCTGAATTCGAGATTGGAAAATAATTCAAAGCTGAGCCTATATGAGCGGTCATCTCGGCCTGGGCGCCTTCACATCGGTAGACTCTCAGGTGTCGATGGGTCAAGATGTTGCGCATGCTAAGGCCCTCTTGTCTAAGCTCATGGATATCCCCTACTCCGACCTAGTGAGTGCGGGATTAGGTTGCATCAGAGCTCCCGTGGTGCCAGAGCTTGTTCTGCGAGGGGAAGCTTATGTTTGACCCGCTCTCCTTCAACGACTTCCCGCAGTTGGGCTCTTCGACAGTGATGGACATCGATGTTAAAGTGAGAACTCCTACGATGTCTCAGTTGCTTGGATTCTTTCAGATCACGACGAAATAGACAGCGAGTGAACAGGCGGCGGAGATAATCTCTCATGTGATGTCGATTTTGCGTCTCTTCTATATAGTTTCTTGAGTTCGCAGTTGACATTTTCTAGAGGGAAGTTCCCTAGTGCGGGAGTTCCGACTTTCCGAAGACACTTCCGAAGACAGATACTTATTCGATGCACTTCAAACTGCTATTCGTGAACGCACTGAGAGAATACTGCGTTATTCAAACACGGACAGTTCGCATGAGGGGGGCGTAGGAGGAATCTTGTACCGTCTTGAAGCGTATCGCTGTAGCGTACAAACCAATTTTGTGATGGTATTCTCACAACCATGTGTTTGTCACTAATCCATCCGCGTATATATGCATGGTGATTTTATCGCCACCATTCGGCGGTCGTCGTATTACATCTATTGGAACGAACAACCTGTGATTGCCTGTTCGCCCCGTCGCTGTCCCCTTCACACAACAATAGTCAGAAGCACTCAATAGGGAACATTTCCATGAGAACTCGTTTATCAGGACGACATCGATACACATTGAGTTGGGAGAGACAGGGACAACAGACGCTGCTTAGTAGCCACGGCCCCCCCTAATGGTCGTTAGCAACACCGGGCTTGGCGAATTCCGTCTCTCGGAAACCGCAGGGTGTGTTGAAGGACATCACTATGGGAACTTGTTCTCGAGGAAATCGGTAAGCATTTTGAGAGCTTGTCGTGGAACGTCCATCGCGACACTATGACCAGCACCATAGACCTGAACACACGAAGCTGAGTTTAGTAATGTTTTGGGTAGCCAAACCCACTGGTAACACCAGTGGTTAGTCTAGAAGTCGCACCTATGTGTGTGCGTGCAGTAGTTGTCTACGCTATAAGAGAATTGATCACTATTGCCACGCGAAGATATGCTGTACGCACACGCAACACTCGTCTTAAGGCAATCACAACTGTGATATGCTCCTATATCACGGCAAGTCTCGTCACCGACAAAACTTTCAGGAGTGAAATTGTGGAGGGCCCGGTGACCTACCTTGACGAAACTCAGCTGCCCACCAGTGATAGGCAAGGAGTAACTCTTGAGGCTTCCAATAGCTGTTCCATTCAGCAACTAAGGACGATGTTCGCTGGAGGTGCAATTCGGCGCCGATCCTTACGGAATACTCAACGGGTTGGGCCCGACTGAATCCGCCTCTCCCTCCCCATCGGAGTGCTTCCATCCACGCTAGACTTCCTACCCAATTGCACACTAGATCTCGGTCTCCAGCGTACACAAGTATCTGACATCATCGAAGCATCACAGACTTGTTCTAAGAATGTTCAACGAACCCGTAGCCCTTTGTCGAGTAGTTCGGGCAAGTACTGATGATAGTTGCATGCCATGTCCGGCGCCAACTTTGCGTATACCTATCGTAACACCGCCGTTCGTAGGAGCGGTTCGAATGTGCGAATTTTCCTGATCTCTCTAGCTGAGGAATGCATCCCATATATCGCCACTTTCAAAGAGAATAATTTGATCGATAAACAGAAAACACAATGTGCTTAGAGTAAGGGATCACTTCTTCCGCGGAGAATACCTTGCGATTAAACACTGACCAGACGGAGTTTTGATCGAAAAACCTCTGTGTGTTCTCGCTGTTGAAGTAGGCCGTGACCTAAGAAAGCCCTCAACAGAGTCAGTTGGGAAAGATCGGGCAAAAGACTTTGATGTATGCCTCTTGAAATCGAGTATATACTTACTTTCAGTATGGTGGGGTCCATGTCTAGTTCGACACACCCTTGATCGAGTGGTAACTACAAAGGGCCTTCGCATTAACAAGCTGTTTCACCCAGCCGCCATACCAGCTCTTTCTGTACGTGTACGGGGAGATAAATTCTCTCACGGATCACTTTCGCTTCGATGCAAGTTCGATATACTTCTTCAGATTTTCTCATCTACACTTGTCATCTG